GCAGTTGATGAGGGGCCAAAAACCAAGGATCACAGAGGTGCTGGGGGGAACAGCTCAAGTGCTCTCGCTGCTCCTGCCTGGGCACCCTCCAAAAAAGGGTCCGCCGGAGGCCTGAAGGGCTTTTCCTTCATGGTGGTGCTGTCCAGGTTAGAAAGGGTGCACCGCTTCGGGCGTAATCACGGAGCTAAGTCTGAATTCTGACAAAGCAAGGCCTGACAAAGTAAAGATGAAGTTTGGACTTAACTGAAGCCTAAGGAAATATGATTTCACTTTGAATGAGTCTCTCTCTGTCTCTCAAGCACCTGTACAATCCCAACATAAGTGATTTCATCTTTAATAGCTGAAGGTCAGCTATTTCAGTGCTGTATTTTTTACACAGCGAGTCACAGTTTCTGCTCTCGTGGCAGATCTGCACAATTGACATCCTAAATAAACCACAAAAGCAAGACAATTTGAAGTTATTGGACTTTTTTATTGTAATGTAGCACCCAGCTCCTTATCACACACATATTCCAAAATTAGACAGGCATAGTATAGAACGCTATACATTTTGCAGCTTACCACGTGGACAGTCTGCAGCTGTGAAAACAAATTGCTTAAATCCGGCTATCTACTTTGCAAGTTAAAATTCAAATATGTAATAGCCTTGGGGTATTTTTTTTTAGATTAACAATGATAATGCTTGCAATACGATTTTTTTCTATCAAAAAATCAGTAACAGAATAAAACATAATGCATATGTTCATAGCATATTATCATGAAGATAACTGAAAAAAGCTTCAAAATGTATCATCTCTTCTCAAAGGTACTATATCATGTCGATATTTTTCCTGAAAAAATACTTTTTAGTCAATAAAATATGTGGCTTTGTGAGGGCCCCTCTTCCTTCTTTTAGAACTCTGTGTGTTTTCCTGTCGAGGACGCTGTGTGCTGAAGGCTGAAGAGGCTGATGGTGCTGGAAAACGGACACCCCTCATTCCTTGGCTAGCAACTTTTACCAGCTCTCCTTCTCCTGATCTGGAAGCTGCTTATACCACACTAAAAGGCAATTTTCGTATCATGTCCATCCTAAATGCTTCCTGTGAAGGGTTCCAAGTCCCAGCCATCCCTTTGGGGTCATTTTACCATACAAGTAGTCACCACCCTGTCCATGCTGGTTAGCCCTAGCAGAGTCAAGCTGGGACCGCCTGGGTGATAACCAAACAAGTTCCTCTCCCTGATGTGGATACAGAATTACCAGCAGCAGAACCACTGTCACGTACATGAAAACAGTTTGGAGATAATATTTTGAGTTAAAAAGGATATTCACCAACTTAGCAATAACAGGGCTGAATCCACTAATCATTGAGATTTTTTGCTACATCAGCAAAACTCTCTGGAAGAGAGAACTCTCTGGAAAGAGGTGGTAATGCTTCCACTGCATCCTAGTATAAATTTAGTAACTAGGAGAAGGACATTGATCCCTGAAAATTAACGTTTGTTCACAGGCAGTTTGCTTAAAGGAATGCCTCTGAAACAGAAACTGTTCACCTTGCTTAATTACCAGGTCATTACTTGTATTTAAAGGCTCAAATAAAAATGGCTTAATCTACAAAGGCAACCAGTCACTACACTCCACTGGGCATTTTTCTTTTTTCATCACTGAATTACCATGTATTGAAACACAGAAAGGTATCAGGTGATATGAGCATCAACAGATCCATAAAGAAATGCATGACCAAAAGGAAGACATGCGAGTGCACAGTTACACACACACTGAGGAAGATCCTTATCTGTTCTGCCTAGTCTTGTTCTGCAGATGACAAAATATTTAATTGTCCAAATCAGAATAGCTGCATGAAATTGAAGACTTAGAAAGGGGCATCAGGCTCATGGTCTACACATCCTCTCAGATGATGCCGTGCTCCATCTCCTGTTCCCAGTTATCCTCTCTTGCTGGGCATGTTCTGCTCTGCATAAATACCTACAGAAACTATGAACTGAGGAGGGTGAGACCTCCCACATGGGAAGCTGTTGCTTTGCTCCTTAAGTTCCTGCTCCTTGGTTGGGCTGTAAGCTGCAACAGGCAGGTCCTAGTCGCTGTTCTGGGTCAGGCACATCAGGGGCTTAAAGCTGATCACCCTCCTGTATCTCAAGAAAGTGCCCTGAACATTGAGCAAACTGCCTGTGAGGTCATCTTCTGAACATATGGTCCATCGTGGGTCTAGGGGCATCTCCCATCCAAAGTTTCAGAAAGTAAAGGTGTCTGCAAGGAATGATGATTTTGCCATACCCACATTTTTCCAACAGAAAAATATTTTTTGAGGAAATCTGTTACAGTGGATTTAGATGTGAATTTTGACCCGTCAGGACATGTTAATAGTAGTCATGAGTGTGGCTGCATGGAGCAACTGCCAGAAGCACCGTCTATAGCTTCGTGATGCCTTCTCCATCCCTCTCAAAATGCTGTCTCCCAAAACCAGACACGCTTTTTCACTGCACTGATGGGCTATCACGAATGTTTAAGTGATGAGACATAGAGAAGAGTAACTTCCTGCATTGTATGTATAAAACACCAACATTTCTCCTTGAATATGTCACTTTACTCTCTCTGTGAAGTAGTGTATCATCATCACAGCCAACATTTCACCAAACAGAACACAAATCAACTCACGCTTTAGCCCTTGAAGCAGAGTGGGGCATTTGATGACATCCCTACAAATGGAGGGATGGTTAAGTTTTAAATTTATTAAGTCTTGCCTGTGGTAGAGTAACAACTGAGTATTTCATTGTTGGCTAACCAAGTATCCTAATTTCCAGTAAATGAAAAAAAAACGCTGTACATTAGAAGGGAGACATCTCAAAAAGACTAGAAAATAGACTTTTCCACTCTTCCTTTGCACAGCATCTATTACATGAATAACTCAGTGAAATGAATGGAGGATTATGCAAGAGGAAGCTCCTATCAAACATGAAAAAATCATCCATTGCCTTAAAAACGCAATGTGCACATTTGTTTGTAATCATTGCAAAGCTTTCCTTCAAAATCATCCATAAAATAAAAAAGAAAGGTTCCATATGATTATTTCCTATTGAATAGGAGGGGTTTATTAACCAAATGACAATGCAAGAACTAAAAAGCAAAGAAAGAAAGAGCACTTAACTTCATTAAAGTCTCAGGAATGACTCAGAGTTATGAACATATGAATGAATGACGATAACTTCTGACCAGTACCACTACTAGCAAGAGGGCAGCAGCTGTTTTGCAGCTTACCAGAGAAGTCTGCAGTTCTTGCACCCAGTCCCTGACCAGGAATGAGCATCTGACCCCAGCTATGCAAGTCACACAGAAGTCCCAAATGCAGAGGAATGGCTGTTGCTTGTTCACATAGTGGTGTTTAGTTGATTTGAAACCAATGAGTTACAAAAAAGGATTTTCAGTCACAATTCTGCAAATGCTTACTTTCACCTTCAGACTTCTGTCCACAAGACCCCCATCCATAGCCTTTTCTGCAAAAGTGGGGCTGTTTCCTCATCACTTCAAACATTCCTGTTGATGTCTGTCTTACCTCTCCACAAAACATTTGGCTGCTCTTACGTCCTCTGATGCCTCACCACAGCCAAGATACACCCTGAAAGAAGGCTATCCAGCTGCTTCAAACCCGCTTCTCCTTCCTCTCAGCCCCAGGGCCATCCTATAGCTACAGGGAGAGAGCATCACACCAACAATGGGGAAAAACTGCTGCGCCACTTCTGCAAGGCAAACATGTACATTTAAATTAGGTGAGTGGACAACAGGATATGAAACACATGCAGTGTGACTGCCTTGGCTATGCCTGAAGTTGCCCAATCTAGGAGTACTGGCCTAAGAAATAAAGCAACATTAGTTAGCCAGCTTCCATGGCAAGAATGGAGGGCGAAGCCAACAACCACTGCATCCATGGAAAGGTCCCCATGGGATTCAGTTGGCTCTGGATCAGACCCAGGTTAAACATTAATGCTTGCTTCTTCATTTAGAAAATTGATGGGCATTAGCAGCTTCATCCTACCAATAGCATCTCCAGTGAGGTGCAATGGAACCTTAATGAAAGCTTGTTGCAGAAGGCAATTCTTTCCATCACACATTTTAGAACCTCATATATAGCATTTGTTCCATCTTTCTTCTTTCAGAAATACAGTTCTTCTACACAACCTTAAAACAAATCAGCAGCTATTAAGACAACAAAGCAGACTAATACAAATGTACATAGAACAGCTGTTATAAAAATGCCCCAAAGGCATTTTTAACCTCTTGTTAGAAATACAGTTGGTTAAAAAAAAAAGCTAACTTTTCTTTTTCTTTGTAACTTCCAAAATAATTAGATTTTAGTATTTTTTTACTCTTCTCTCATATGATTTGAACTTATAAAATACAAGTTCTCTAACATTAAAGTACATCCATGATTGCATAATAAACAGTGCTACGAAAATAATTATCTGACACAAGATTGTGGATAAAGACTCTGTACGTCTAGTGAGTTTTATTCTTGTAGTACATTAAACCCACGGGTACTCTACCATGACACAATCCTACAGGAACCAGTAACATTCAAAAGCCCATCTCAGAGGATGAGTCTTAAATTTAAGCAAGAATTCAGGAATGCTGTACCTCTTAATGATCGGGGCAGGAGATGCTGCCAGAAGGCATATAAATCAGGAACTCTTTACATAAACAAAATACTTTCAGGTTATTCGTTTCAGTGATAAACTGCATTTACACATTAGGCTGGGAAGAGGGCGGAAAAAAGGCGAAGCATACCCCCTCCCCCCGCAACCACTCAGAAACACTTGGCAATCAGATTTTTGTTTTCTGTACCTTCTTCACCTGCAAAGGCAAACCAGGGAGACCCGACAAGTCAGTCCTTCCCACCACCCCCCCCGCCCCCGCCCGCAGGAACCCTGCCCTCCACACAGTGCTCCTCTCCTTGCAAGGCCGTCGGGATGCATGTTCCGCTCTTGATGCTGCATGGTGGTGCAGGGGGTCACAAGACGGTGACGGGACGGAGCTGCTCCAGCTGCGTTTCCAAGGCAATTCGCTCCTTGTGAACCTCCTGCAGGAGGGAGATAGATGTGCGGTGACTTTTGGGATGCTTGCTCCAGTATAGATTAGCCAAGCAAACTGCTGGCAATTGACTGGAGGCTCAGTGCTCTCCTGTTTAAGTAACTCTCTTTGAGGTCTCAAAACACTGTACTGATGCACACAAACACCCTGGCAGCAGTTCACTGCCTCCTCCTTACAGCGGGGCAAGACAGAGGCTCAATCACTTGGTTGGGCGACCATGGAGAGGAGCAGTCATCCACTGACCAGTGGAACAGCTTGGGATGCAGTGAAGCTGGCTACAATTTGGCATTTTTGCCACAGGAAATCTGGTTATTTTGAAATCACATCTCATCAAAATGGACTGGGTTTTTTTTTGAGACTTTTTGGTTGACACAACCATCCTCTTGCATTCTGGAAATGAATCAGCCTTTCTAAGATGACACAGGCTTTGCAATCTGCCTCTTTGGCAGCTGCATCAGGAAGATCATCAAGTCTCTGTCAGAAACTACCTGTGAAGGCTTTGGGGATCAGCAATTTTGGGATAGCCTCTCCTGGTCTCAAGGCTGCTCCTGTGCTGAGGGGCACCCAGCTCTCGCTGACCTTACATCAAAAGTCTCCCTAGCCCGCATGGGAGTAGGGCTGACCTGTGACTCCTCCAAACTGTGGTATCCCATATGGGTAGGCTCACAGCCCCAGCCTGGGAGCACACTTGAATGCTCCCCATGCCTCAGTGTGCCTGAGGGCTACCTGTCAAGTCTGCTGGTCCCCATAAAAACATCAAGGCCCTGCTCCATCAGAAAGTTTCCAGGCAGCAATATGACTTGAAGGACAAGTTCAGTTTTCTGCTCTTGTGTGAACTCAGGCAAATCTCTCTGTCTTTACGTGTTTCCTTCACTCTACTGTAAAATACAGATAACAGCTCTGGCCCATTTCATGAAGGTCGGGAAGTTTAAGCATGCTGAAGATAGTGCATGGAAGCAGATAAGACCTGAGCCAAGGAATGATGGCAATGTGCTGTCACTGAAAGCTTTCATCTCCGTGCTTATTTCAACTGCTGTCCTATATTTTGCTATGATTTCAGCACAGAGCATCCACTCTGCATTTTCCTTGGGAAATCATTGAAAACCAGTCAAGAAATTAAGTTAAAGAGAAGCTGAACATGGAATCAAACTTTCACCTTGACTGAAGAAAAAGTCTACCTGGGGATTTACCTCCCTTTCCAGACAAGTATGTACATAATATGCAAGGAAGAAAAAGCTGTAGCAGATGAAAAACTGAAGTCTACACTACCTTTGGACTGATAAAACAGAAAAACCATGACTGATATTTATAAGAAAACAGCCCCTTGAGAACATGACAAAAGACAAGTCAGCAGACATTAAAAATCAGTGTTAGATGTGCACATAAAACACAGTTTAGCCAGCCCTTCGATACCAAATGCCTGACTCCAGGAGACAGTTGTGTAGCATAACTGATCGTCACATTTTCAAACTTTTCAGAAGGACAAAGTTCACTCTTTAGACTTACTTTTAACTGCCAGTGGAACAGCAGGCCCATAGGTTATAACTTTTCCCAGACAGCCACATCCTACCCACAAATACAGTACAGTTATTCCCTTCCAGAAAGCAGGAAATAACGCAGTAGGTTTCATCTGAAAGGATGAACAAGATTCTCTGCTGGAGGTGACACATAACTGATTGCAGGGAGCTTTGTCACCAATTTTCAATGCATTCCTTACCTTCAGCTGCTGCTGGAGCTCACTGTTCAACCTGGCGAGCACAGCATTGGCTTCTTTGTTTTTCCGTATAGCGGTCTGAATAGCCCTTTTCTGCTTGGAAGACTGTCTGCCAGACAGATAAATAGAAAACATTTCAATTAAGAGCCTCAACAGCGGCTGATGCCAGAAGACCAGCCACCCATTCTGTGCATCTGTACTCTGTACACACTGGACTACACTTCAAAAGACAAGCTACAAACTACACATTTAAGAGAAGAAAAATGTAACACTGAAATGAGATGGCTGAGTCAGGTAAGAGTATTTGAAAGTGAAACAGTAACACTTTTACCTTGAATGACAGAAACATTTTAGGCTGTCTCAATTATTTCAAAAACACTACAGTCTGATTCAGTTAAAGAATAATCCCTGGATAGCTGTGCTTATTGCAGCATCTTTGCTTTAGCTGTTTTGAGACGCTTGCAGAGTTTAAAGATTCAGGAGTGGTTAACAGAAAATACAAAAATTATTCTATGCAGAAAGAAAGGACATGTGCATGAAACTACTGTCTCAGATTTTTTGGAGGCACTGCTCATTCTGATGTTTCTTTACTTCAAAAAATAATCTTTCCTTCATTCAATGCAGTCATTTCCACCAAAACTATCTGATGGGACAACCAGGAACAGGTAGATAGCTTATGGACTTTCCTCATCTCCTTTTCTGCTTAATGAAAGATCCCTCTCCTATTATTATTATTATTACTTTACAGCCCATGGTAACTGATTTGGAGGAAATTACAGTTAGGTAGACAGGTACAAAAAGAGACAGCTCTGTACATAAGGACCAACCTATTCCAAGAAACAGGAAAAGGAAAGAAAATACAGAAAATATTGGCTGAATATCCAAGCCCTTTTCCAAATATGTTATTTTAAAGTTGTACATGAGGCATCATGAGCTCTTTAATGACAAGTTTGATCTAAAACAGATGCCCTATTTAAATACGGTCCACAGTGGTACACAGTCCCCATTAGCTCCTCTACCAGAGCCAATCTTTGCAACAGGATCTGTTTCGCAGCACAGGCAGGTCTTTATGCTGTTATCTTCCAGCGAACTGTCAGTTTTCTGCTTCATGATTTTGCTTCAAACCACTCTCTCCATAGGCTACAAAGTAATAATAGTAGGAAAAAATGAAAAACAGGGACCTATACCTCTGTGGTCATTTAAACATTTTAGGAAAGATATAGACAAGACAGTATTAAGTTTAGACACTAACAAATGCTGTTATCTTTCTTTGAACCGCTATGGAATATTCACTCCCAAAGCACAAAATAGCACTTTAAGGCCATCCTAGGAGCCTTATTACTTTTTCTAATCTGCAATTATGCAGCACAGATTCAGTTTACTGATAAACAGTTTGCCAGGAACCGCTCAACTGATTTGGGCAGCTCAGTTTTGTTTCAGACTGAACCAGCTGTCTCTTGAACCAGATGTCTCTGCAAGCCTTTGGGTGAAGGTGGGCTATAATGTTTGCACCCTCTTTCAATTGAAGGAGCTGTGTAGACCCAATTGGGCTTCAAGTGCCTTCGCTTATCATTTGTACAGGCCATCCTCCACTGCTATTGAATAAATATATAGTGAAATCCCTTCAAGTCTTTGTTGCTGGCAGCTTCAGCAGCTATATTTATGAGAGCAAACACCACATTCTGGGTTTGGCAAGTATTGGATTATCACAAGTGGTCTATGGCTCAGCTCATACCAGTGGCGAGCTCATTTCCAACCTGCCTCATGATGAGGAAATATCACAAGGCTATGACCAACGTCAAGCATTTCATGACTCAGTTTCCTGGGAATGTATCTGGTTGCATCTGTCCACATGAACAAGCGAAATTCCAGAAGATACATGCACCCAAAGAGCTAAAAGAGGTTATGCTAGAGATGCTGGCTGAAGCTAGGCTTGCTCTTTAGACATGTCTACCAGATACAGAGGTAGGACACCTTTGAAGAGGCTATGAATCAAACATTATCAACTTAGACAGTCACTACTGTGTCACTACTTAGTCTGCATTTGAGAAGACAGATGTCAATTTGAGAGACCTGTTATCTCGTGAAACATTCTCAAAAACAGGACTATTAAGCACAAAATTATGCAAAAAGCAAACCCTGCTACATCAGATCTCATGGTGCAGTTTGGCATGCTTGGCACAGGTTTTTACTTTTGGACTGGGAAGTGAGACTTGACTGCTGGCAGGGAAGAGGTCACACTTATAGTGGGAGAAAGCTCGGGTGTCTCCAGCCCCTGCGTCTCTGTCCGGAGCTTCCTGCGGGTGGGTTTGGAGGGCGGCTGAGTGAGAACAACCTCCTGCAAGGGAGAAGCACAGTAACGTTAAGTCAGGCCATTTGTCTCCTGCCATTAGGCTGGGGAATACTTGTGACACAGAATTTGCTGACAGCTGGCCTAAGATTCCTTAATTTAAAGAGGTACAGAGCTTAACTCACATTTGGTAATAGCCTCTCAGGTTTCTGACTCTGATAAAGGGAACAGTAACTCCTGCAACCCCTTACTGAATGAAATGATTATACTGCTGTTTTGTCTTCATCTGGATGACGGGCTCTTCATAACTGGATTGTATAGCTCTGTGTGCATTTGGGGGAGCAGAGAGAGGGGTATAAATACAAATATGAGCCCCTAGTTGACCCAAAAGAATTAGAAACAAAACAAGATTTATTTTTCATTATGCTTAGTTGGTAAAAATCAATAATCAATCACTTGCATCCTAGCTTACTACCTCACCCATCTGGCATGGAGTGTCTCCCTTCTTCTCCTCTCCTCTCGTACATGAAGCAACATTGAAAACAGCGTAGAAAGACACGTATAAGATTATCCATGCAAAATTAAGATGCTGGAAGTGTAGAAGGACAGTTACTTCTCTCAATAAGTTACATCAGAGAGGTAAGTCTGGTTTGTAGGCAAAACAAAAAGTCCTGAATTTTTATGCCTTTAATGGTGTTTTCATTATTTTAAACTAAGATATCCTTTCTTTACAATGAGTAGTTGTTTCAATGACTTAAAGCTGTTTTAAAACTGAAATATAAAAATATCTCTTTCAGTGTATTTTATTATTAGATCTCTTTTACAAAGGATATTAACTATCACAGCCCCATTTCATGAATGAGAAAGCTAAGACTCAAAAAAGATGAAGTGACTTGACAAAGGTTGTACATTTAGTGTCACAGTCAAGACCAGAGACCAAATTTTATTATCACTTGCACAGTACACATTTTGCTGGGCCACACTATCTTCCTTACTATGTTTGGGGCAAATACTAATAAAATAAGAATAAAATTAAATGAGGAACTATTTAATGACCCAGCAATCATAAGAAAAACAAAAACCACTGTAGTAAGCAGCTCGACTCAGCAGAAGAGACCACTGTGAGTGATGCAGAATGAAACCAACAAAAGACCATCAATAATTAGTATGAGAGGGATTACAATTATTAGAGGAATTAGAATTGTAAGGAGACAAGGGGTTTCAACATTTTAAAAGCGTTCTGCCATTACTGGGAAAAAACAGATCTAAAAATATTATGAGATCTTTTGATCAGGATATCAGCACATCAGCACTGCACAGCTCTGAGATAATACCATGCTCTGAAATCCTATGAATATGCGCAGCTCCCCGCAAACACACAATGTACGGCAAGTGAGGAACTTGCTTACGCCTCCTACAGCTATAAACTGGTGAGATGCCAAATGCACAATCCTAGTTTACCTTAAACTGCCAAAAAACCTACCAATTCTGTAGGATAAATCCCTCTTCCATTTAAAGCACAATACTGGAAGACATGATCCAATACTGAAAACCAGAGACCTCCACAGGGGCTCTCTGGCTGGCACAGCTGCACCCAGCAAGGTGGGTCAGCACTGCGCCCACAACCTGCCTCCCGCACGCCACAGCTGGGGCTTCTCTGTATTTTAGGGAGCCAGGTGAGACAAGGGTGAGCATGAAGTAGGTGGACCACAAGGGCTGCAAAGCAGGGCAAGGAAGAAGCAGGGCTAGGCTAGTAGCAGCACGCGGGGAGCACAAGTGGAGCGAGAACGCTGCCTTGAATGCCCTAGCACACACAGGAAATTACCCTGGACATTTGTCTGTGCCCCACATTAGGGTGAGAAGTGTGATGATGCTCCCTGGGCAAGGTAGGCACTAAGTACAGCACCTGCCAACACTTCTTGGTTGTGCTGAGCAAAGGTACTCCCTGGCTGCAGGAGGGGCTGCAGCAGGGAGGATCTGCATTCACACCCCCTGTCAAAAACCTCTTCTGGCTGGGGCTGGTGGAACCGTGGGCAAGAGTGGGGAAATGCTTACAGCCATTGCGAAGGCCACTATATTCGTAAGCAAGGCCCTGTGAAGAGTGCCACTGCAATTTCAGTGTTTATTTTACACAAATGAGATTTTAGAAACTGCACATCTTGAGCAAATCTCTCCCAGTCTATGGACATTTAGCAGCAGATTCTGACCTCTTGCAAACAGGTGGGGTTACATCAAAATTGAATCCTCAATAACTGCAAGCAAGAAGTGCATCACAATTTGGAAGAATTACAGCAAGACAGGGGTCAAGTACAATCAAACTCTTTTTTGACCTCCCTAAGGGCTCCACAAGCCCCTCTTGATTTGAAACAAACGGCACGCTGCCTCTCTTGAAGCACATGCATCAGTGTGTATGAACTGAGAGCTTTCTTAATGATTTATCAGAGCTGATGTCACACGTGATCCCAGTTCTCTCCAGCGTCTTGACCTCCAGAGAAGGTAAACATGTAAAAACGTAACCCTAACCCTCCGTTTAATTGCCTTAAAACTTAAAACAACCACATTTGTTGACGAAAGCAAATCACTCCACAATGCCACAACATGTGCAGGCCTCACCTTTTTTGCTGAACTGTTTTCTTCTGCCTGTGATGGGGGTCTGTTCATCTGAGGATGTAATTCAACCTCAGATACTTGCTCTGTCTGTAACAACAAATCAGTCATTGCTACACCCAGAAAACGACTAGCAGTCACATACAATAAAGTCAACAAAAGGAAATGTTACACACAAAAGAAAAGTTACTTTAACAATTCAACAGTAGGGGAAATGGAGATCCAGGGTGACAGCTGAATGGATGACATATGTCTTTTGCAGATTTTTAATGAAACCATTTTCTTGCATTTTATTGTGCTAAGAAAAGAGAAGTTTTTCTGTGAATTGTTAGGAACCACGTCTCTGAATGTAAATGACCTAGGACCCACAATTTCTTCTAGAGTTACCACTATGGCCTCGATACGCGGAGAAACACTAAGAGGGGTAGATAAAAGCTAGAAAGATCTTGGTTGCGCCCTGTCACCTTATCATCTCCTGAAACTGATGAAAATTCATCAGAGTAAGCCTCTGTCTTTGAAGTTTGCAAGGCTGGAGTGAGAAAAGTCTGAATTATATACCAAAAATTCCAGCAAAGCTACTGAAAGCATAGTCATAAAAGCAGACAAATAAATCTTCTTCCCTCCTCCCTTCTCACGTTTCAAACAGAAACCAAGGTGAACACTCACCACACAGGTCTACACGTTGGCAAACCAAAACACCCTCTCTCAGCACACCTGACCAGGCAGCAAATTAAAACAGAGGGTTAATCCCTTCCTTCGCCTCTCCTGACATCTCCCAGCATCTTTCCATTTGCTTCACCAGGTCAGGGCACAGCACATCGGCAGCAGGATTTGGAGCTGCCTGTCCCAGCAAACACTGTATAAGCCCAGCAGGGCTGATTTCTGTCCAGAAGGCATGGGCTGGCTCTGCGAGACAGGGAAGGCAAGCAGAAGCGGGAAGATGAGGGCACTTGGTGCTGGCAGACGGTCTCTTCTGCTCTTTCCCAACTTCTGCCAAGTTGGAGGCAGGCTGACAACATCCCACAGGCAGGAGAGGCGACCCTGTGCTCTCTTCAAAAAAGGCTCGTTTCTCCATATCTAAAAGCTTGCATTTAAAACCAAGTTCAAAGCAAACCTCAAACTTTAAAGGGGCCAGGATTTTGGCCATAGTAATAATAATAACCTGTTGCACACTGAAGAACCTAATTTGGTGTTGCCAAGAGGTTTCTGCATAGGTCCGTCAAGCTCTGTAGCAGTCACAGGTTTCACAGTGCTTAACGGTAAGTTAAGCAAAAATGACAGAAAGCAGAGAATTTTATATATTTTAAAAGGAGGGACTTTTTCATACCACTTCCATTTCTTCCACAACACACACAGTAAAAAGCTGTAGAGAAAGCTGCAGGGGACACACAGCTCTGTCAGGTTACTGCTGCTCTCCAACCGTATGGCATTGAACATGTGCACAAAGGAGGGAGATTTGGGATGTTTTTTTAAAACTTATGTGAAATTCCTCAGGAGAGGAGGAAAAGGTGTTTTGGCTGACAAGATTTCTCTCCCTCCCTCTTCTAACTGTGCTACATATGTAGCTTTGTCTGATGGTTAAAAAAAACCCCCAACAACTCACCCTGTAATTTTCCAGTATTTGAATATTAATATCTTCAATATTTGGATTTTAATAATTGTTGGATACTAACATTTGGATTCTGGAAAGCTTTTCATGGGTTGAACTGTAGATTTCCGGTGCAAATAAGAAAGTGAAAGGGAAAAAGCAATCTTTTTTTCTGTGTACAAAAATCAAAGAACTTTAAAAGTCCATTTAATGAAACAGAGTACTTCTTTATCAGTAAGCTGAATAGCCCATAACCTCCCCGATTTCTACAACTACTTTTTATATATTTGAAAGAAGTGAGGCTCAAAGCACTGGTAACAGTAGTCTGGCAAAGTCCATAAAGCTTCCATGAACAATTTGTGGATAGCAAAGCTCAAATATCCAACAGAGCCATATGATGAATTTCAGCCCAAACCACATCACTGTGACAAATCATTCATTTAGGGACAGGACCAAAAGCAGAAATACAGTAACTTATCCCACAGAACGAAAAAGGAGACCAACCCTGTGTTGTTTATGTATAGATAAAATGCAGCTTCTTAACAACTGATATGTTCAGAGAGTGTAGAAGTAACTAACAGGTGGATACTCTACAACGTCAATTGCAAATAAGCAGGAAAATTGAAATCAGAATAAGATAATTTTTTTATTGGCCTCATTGCAAGTGAGTATTATTTTAAACTGAAGGGAACCGAAAACAGGAAAAAGGGTAAACTTTGTGTTCTGGTGGAAGCAAATACAAATTGGAGAGCTGATGCCAAAGAGGGGAAGATTTCAGAACTTCCAACAGTTTGATGTCATGGTTCCTACTGATGCAAGAGATCCTTCACTAGCTGGGTGCTGTGGTGTGGCTGACAGCCCTACAGCTGTGGTGGCCGCTGTGCTGCAGGGCTGTGGTAGCTGCTGGCTGCAGCGGGGCCACTGGGCTGGCCGCTCCTCCCCGCTGCCAGGACCTGAGGAGGGCAAAGTGCAGTATTCCGAGGGGCAGGGGCTCGCTGGAGCAGGCAGGTGGTAAAAATAAATAAATAGTTACATTTGGCCGTTAAAAAAAAAAGAATAATAAAAAAAGAACTAGTTCTAGTGGTGCAGCTCATGCATAATGAATTATACCAAGTGACTGCCATGTCCCTAAAGTGCCACCTAGTGGCATGTGGCACAGGCCATTTCTGAGTGTTTTGCTTAGAAGAGAGTACCAAAAAATAGCTGTCTGCGTTATCCGCATCCTGCAGGCTGAGCCTGCCCCAGGGGGGCGGGCAGAAGCCGGGCTGGGCACGGTGAGCCTCAGTTCTTTGAAAAATCTCCTTGCCCTCTCATGCAGAAGCCAGGTCCATTCGTTGATGATCTGCCAGCAGAGCTACAAGTTCTCCTCTACGGAAGATCTCCCTTCCTCAGACACAAGTGCCCAAGTGTAAAAAAATAAGGGTATGCTGCTATGTTGCAGGGGATTTTGTTCAGGGACTGACCCAGGCAAAAAATCTTTTGCTTAACTGCAATGTGCATCAATGCAATGAAGGTTTGCTGATTCAGCTAACCCAACAAAGTCCTCTAGGCAAGCCCCAAGAGGCTTTACAAATATGTTTGCAAAAGCTGGTGTCTCCCCACACTAGACCCACGTGGATTTTAAAGGAAAAATAAGTCCTGCTTTTTCTCTTGGCAGAGGGATTCTTCAGATTTCCTTCCCTTCACTGATTTGGACATGGACTGAAAGCCAGACCTTGTAGCCTTCAGGTCCTGGGCAGAATGAGACTGGCTCCAGGATGCTCTAAGTCCAAGGTCCTATACTGTACTGTAAGGAAAAGGTGATTCATCAGGAGCAGCTGAGGTGGGTTCCCTTCAGTTCTTCATTGTTTTTATACCGTGCTTACTGTAGTCTTTGAGGAACTCATTTCTCATTCAGAAACACAGCAATAAACTGCCTCCCTCCATCAGAGCAATAAATGTCTTAAAGTTTTCCCACATTTTGGAAAATTCTCATCATTATATTAGGGTTTAAAATTTTTCATCACTGGTTTATAAAACTGAGAGGTTATACATTATGCAACATGGTCTTCCTATGGAAAATTCAGTTACGGTAGTGTAAAAGTGCTTAAAAGTGCACCTTGTTCCTGTCCACAGAATGGAGCGAGCTACTGACGTAGGAAGTGCTGCTGTGCTGGTATGGCTGGGCCCACATCCAGGGTTACAGCAGCTGGACAAAGAAAATCCTGCTCATGTGCCCTACCAGCAGCGCAAAAGAGAGTTTGCACACCAGGCCTAAGGGTATCTTGATTTTGGGAAGAAGAGTAAGTGACCACAGAAAAGTGCAAGACCCTGTCCTGTTCCAAATCTCCTGAAGTGCTTCCCTTTGCAAAGACCAAAGTCCAGTTATTAACAGGCAGCATTTCCTTTTTCCCCTCCTCTTTTGTAGGAACAGCCATATTCTTCCGGGCAGCAGGTAAAACTGGCCAACAAAGTTTCTGTACAGCAGCCATGGCCAGAGATCAACCTGTGGCCTACAGCCAATACTGAGCATTAGGACAGATAATTCCTCATCGTTAAGGAGCGCATTAGGAATCGCAAATGCTCCTTATTTCATCGCATGATCCTTGACCGGCCATTCATAATCTCCTCACTGCTCCATGTGAGGATACTTAACAGTACCTTTCTAAAAGAATATGTAACGCTCACTTAAGCACAAAGTGCTTTGAAAGCCTCAGATGAAAGATTTTAGTAACTATAAGAGAATGCATTACCTTAACAACTGGTTCTTCGTTTACATTTCCAGTTCTTTTGCTCTGCTATGCTGGATTATATGGAGATTTCACACCCACTTTTCAAGACAATCCATAACTGATCTTCCAGAACAGAAGATCTACTCAGAGCTTTCATATTTCTGTTACCCGAGAGCCTTTTTGCGAGAGGTGAAGTATATATTCAATCTCTCCCACGATTCAATCTCGCCCACGCGTACGCTCCAGGCTAACTTTACACACGCAAACAGTCCCACTGTAGTCAATGGCACTACTCACAGAAATGAAGTTATCTCTGTGCATTCACTGGAATAGCCCATCATCATTACCTACACAGTGCCGCTGCTTAGCTTTGCATAAAAGTATTGAGAATAGCTTATCTGTAAGAAAAAGTAGGATACTAAATATGCTTAACACTCAGTCTGTGCCCATTGCAATCCTCTATCATCTCTACGTAAGTTCATTTAAGAGGTATTTTACTCCTTTCTAAACATCCTTATTTTTCCGCTTAACGCCAATTTCTAAGAAGTCAAGATGTCTCAATTTCAGTTTCTGTGAGTCTTGTGCATCCCACACAGAATCATCAGTTCTTTTTATTGCTTGTTACAGAAACTGAAAATGATAGGAAAGAAAACCCATAGGGATGCAAATGCAACAAGCTGCCAGGGTCTCAGTGTGCTGCCTGCTTTCTCAGTGCTGTGCAGCCCCAAAGTTTTGGTAAGCTTTTTCTTTCCCCGAGCTATCTGAGGGCTGGTGATAAGGTTGGGGGAAAA